TGCGGCGTGTGCATCCATGCTAGAGCTTGAACTCAAGGCCTGGGTGTTGTTCCTTTGCTTTTTCATTCGAGGCTGGTGTTCTACTGCCTGAGCCATAACTCCTCCTCTGGTTTTGTGGTGGTTTATTTGAGTCAAGTGTCATGGACTTGTGCTTGGGTTGGCTTTGAACTGCAATCCTCAGATCTCAGCCTCCTGAGCATGAAGCCACATCTGGCTCCATTATTTTTTTAGTGCCTACTCTGTGGCTCATGCTCTATTAGACTGAAAAGAGAGCATGTGGTCAGATAATGTAGCCACTGACCATGTGTGACTACTGGTCCAAGTTAAGATAATCACACTCGTTTCAAAGATTTCATATGAAAAATGTAAAAATATCTTACCAATAGTTGTTTATATTGAATACACATTGGAATGGTAATTTTTATAGAAGGGGCTAAATAAAATAAGTTATAATTCACCTTATCTACTAAGTTTTTTCTTTATAAACATGGTTAGTGGGATATTTAAATTGCATTGGTGGCTTGCACTGTGCTTCTGCTAGGAACCACTGTTACTCTACTTGCAGAAGACCATTATGTGTCTTGGGATAGGTTGGGGCCACTTTTGAGAGAAGATAATAAAAGATAAAGGCAGAGGGAAAACTATGAGAGAGTGAGGGAAGGGGATATATGGTTCAAAAAGCGTTGTAGTCATTACCTGACTCATGTAACTATAACTTCTCTATATATCTCCTCTACAATAGCAATAAAAATAACAATAATAAAAAGAGATAAAGGCAGAAAGGCTAACCTGCTGTGACTCAATGGTACTGGTAGGTTTTACGTGATTAAATATTTGTCACTTACTGGGCCCCATATAATAATTTGGGATGCCACAATGTTTGATGCTTCCTGGAATTTTCTCAGTTGTCCTTAGATATTCTAGTTTCCTGAGTATCTGCAGATGACTGTTTGCATAAAGCAATGCTATAAAAGATGACTCAGGAAGAAATAAATATGTACAGACTTCCTGATAATTTCCTGGCATTGTGGAAATAAAACAAAGCTGACTTTAGTCTTATTAAATTTTAGTTTTTGTGGTTCTGGAGTTTGACCTCATGACGTCACACTTGCTAGGCAGATGCTCTATTGCTTGAGCTGCAGATTATTGTTGTTATTGTTGTTCTGATATTTTTGAGATAGAGTCTCCCTTTTTGCCTAGGCTGGTCAGAATTGTGATCCTCTTATTTATGTTTCTTGCTGTAGCTGGAATGACAGGAGTGATTCACCATGTCCAGCTTTTTCTGTTAAGATGGGGTCTCAAAAACTTGCATAGAGTGGCCTTGAACAGTGTTCCTCCCAATCAATCTTTGCCTCCCAAGGACACAGGATTACAGATGTGAGCCACTATGCTTGGCTTTGCCAATCTTTCCCCTTCCTCTCTTCCTTTCCTTTTCTTTTTTGACATTAAGGAATCTGGGTTCCTTCATGTTTGCACTCACCTTCAAAAGGCAGTGGAGAGAAACAAGATAACTTGAATAACCAAATAATGTGAAAAAAAAACCTTAAGTAACTGTCATTAGTAATGGAATAATAGTGAAGGACTTGGGTTCTAAGATGCGGTAAATAGAAGGCAACACTTGGTTTGCAAGTGCTTTGAAATTAAAATAACAATTAATAAAAAAATTAGCTGAAATGTCTTTCAGCTCGAGCTCCGAGCATGCTTGGATCAGCCTACTTGAGGAAGATGGGCACCCATCCTCTGCTCACCATGGCACCCACACGGCCCCGGTCCTGTGCCCAGCTCCATCCTCCAGGCAGCTGGACATGGAAGGATACCAGCGTCCACCCCTTGCCCAGGTCCTGGGGCAGGCACACAAGTGCTGGGTCTGCACACTGCTACAGGGTGGTGGGACTTGGGCTGCCTCCAACCTTCTCTCCTTCTCTTGCTAGTGAAGATTTTGAAGGATACTCTGGGCATTTATGCCAATGACACAAGGCACAAGTGGAGCCGTGGAGAGCACAGGGAGCGGCCATTGGTGCTCTGTGGTCAGAAGGCAGCAGTGGGGTCGGCCGGGCCTCTCTGTGAGGCTGGGAAATCCGCAGGGCTTGCCAGCTAGTGTAGAAGAGGCAGATGGCCCGGCAGACGCTGCAAAGGAAAAACGACTTAACCACGTGGCGAGCCATAGAAAAATAAACAAGGAGGACGGAGGGAAAAGTCGCAGTGCCTCGGCCTCAGGGTGGCTGCCTGTCTCCCCGACGTGTTCACCTGTGCCCCACGGGGTGCGAACGAAGTCTCTCTTGCTGTCCCACTGTGTGTGCATTTGGAGTTCACAGCCATCAGTGGAGAGAGCTTGCTGTGTGTCTGCTGGTGCCTGGCGGGCACGGACGGAAGAATGGAAGGCGCGGAGGGCTGGGATGCCTGGCACCAGTCCTCTCGGAGAGCGTGTTTGCTGCCTTCCTTTCTTTCTGGCTCAGTTGGCTGCTGCACTATCTGTGGAAACTGGATGAAGCTCCCCTCGGTTTGTTTTAGAAGTGCTCCCAATTCACGTCGAGGCGTGGTACAAACCGCACACATGGGAATGGCATTTGAATCCTCTTTAAATGGCTTTGTGACAGCCAGCGTGGTCCATACCCAACCCCTGACCGCAGTGTGATGCATGGCTGGAGGGCTCTAGCGTCCCTCGGTTGTCATGAAGAGGGGTTAGGTGGGCTGGGCACCCTTTCCACCTTGCCCACCCAGGAAGCCCTGAGCAGTTGGGGAGGGAGCCTGTGTCCTGGCAGGGAGTAGTTAAAACCAATGAAAAGTGAGCCACAAGCTCTGGGGCCTGCCGTTCTGATATATGTAGACTTAACATGAAAACCAGCCTGTGCCGGGCAAGTGCGGTCCCACCACCCACAGCAAGCAGGACGGATTCGATGGAGCCCACAGTGGACAGGCGCATTGATGAGCAAGGGCCAGGTGCTGGCTTACCCCGATACCTCCAACTAGGCTGGAGGTGGGGATCAAGAGAATCGCGGTATAAGGCCTGCTCAGACACACACACCAGAGGTGCCGGTACGCACCTATAAACAGGATTACAGTCCTGGCTACTATGGGTGGAAACCGTAAGATTCTCTTCCCCTATTCCCTCAAAAACAGAAGAAACCAAGCAAGCAAGCCAGCCAGTGGTTCATGCCTATAACTTGGGAGGCTTAACTCTAAGGATGCAGTTCTCAGCCAGCCAGGCAGGAAACTCCGTAAGACTCTTATCTCCTACTAACTACCAGAAAATCTGGAAGTGGATCTGTGGCTTAAGTGGTAGAGCATTATTAGGCTTGCCACAAAAGTTTAGGGACAGCACTCAGGCCCAGAGTTCAAGCTCCAGGTCCAGCACACACACACACAAAATGAATGAAAAATCATACAAGGACATAACTAAAGCAGAAAGGGCTAGGGATGTGGCTGTCTAGCAAGAGTGAAGCTCTGATTTCAAACTCTAATAGTGCGCTACCACTGGAGCCATGCCTCTACTTCTGGCTTTTTGCTGATTAATTGGAGATGAGAGTCTCAGATTTGTCTGCTCTGATGGGCTTTGAACCTTGATTCCCAGATCTTCTAAATATCTAAGATGAAAGGCATGAGTCCTCAGTGCCTGAGCATAAACGTTTCTTATTCTAATAAAATGCTTATGCTTTGCTTTACCAAATACTTCATATTTGCTTTGATAAAAAACACACATTTTCTTTGATTTTTCCAACACTGATATTGCCTTATAGTTAATTCTTGATTTAGTTAGAATCAAGAAATAAGAAAGTTTAAGAGAAAATAGACATATACACACATGTTTGATGTATATGATACATATAATACATACATGCATTATATGTATTTTTTTGTAGTGGAGAAAGCGATAAATGGAAAATATAGTTTCCGTAAAAATTTTCATGGTCAGAAACAAACTAAAAAAAATCATACGTACTTCAACCAGCTTTTGTAACTATACATCCAAAGTCAATCTTCACAGAACTGTGGTTTTTTTGTTATTTTTTTTTAAAAATCGGTTGTGGGGCTTGAACTCTGGGCCTGAGCACTGTCCCTCAGCTCTTCAGCTCAAGGCTAGCGCTCTACCATTTGAGCCACAGCGCAACACCCGGTTTTTCTGGTGCTTTATTGGAGATAAGAGTCTCATGGAGTTTCCTGCCCGGGCTGGCTTTGAACCACCATCCTCAGATCTCAGCCTCCTACGTAGCTAGGATTATAGGCATGAGCCACCAGTGCCTGACAGAACTGTGTTTTGAATCATCAAAGATGATTCAAAGTTACCTTCAGTGTAATGTCATGTGGACTCAGCATTCTTATTCTTTGAAAACTGATAACCCATATTGTAACATAAAGCCCAAATACCCAAGGCACCCTCCCTTTAAAATTCTTTTCCCCAGATATCTCCATTCTTATTCACCCCAGGGAAGTGCCGTAATCCTGGGATTACAGGCCTCAACTAACTGGAACATTCTCCCTGGTGGTCCTCCAAAACCAGTCATCCTGGGATAGGACAGTTGTAAGATGGAGCCGATCAGTAGGCAGGTTTGGAAAGCCTACTGGGGAGAAGCTTACACCCCAGGCTAACCGCAGGAACAGAAAGAGTGGATGGTGCAGCTTCTGGAAGATCCAGTCAAACCTCAGAGATAGCTGATTTTGAGCTGCTCCCCAGGACTGTGCCTTGGGAAGACCTCAGTGGACTCACTCTAGAGGAATGACATTAAATCCGTTGGTTTAGTTGAGGAGATCTCATAATCAAAGTGAATGAACCCTGGGATCATCACCAGACACAAGCCTCAAGCCTTCAACTGATGACAGAAAACACAATTGAGAAGACTGCAGGGCCTTTGCTTTCAAAAGGGTCAATATTCTGGCTAAGAGATACCACCTGTTTTGTTTTTCATACCCGTGCAGGTCAGGTTGCATACGTTTCCTCTCCCACCATGAGTAGAGTACTCACACTACTCAGTCACTCAGAGTGGTTCCGTGGGCGTCCTCACCTTCCATGGGCGTGTTGCCGTCAGGCCGATTTGCGAAGACCACATCCACATAGTCCAGCTGCAGCCTCTGCAGGGAGCCCTTCAGTCCTGCCAACAGAGGGGCGTCAGGACAAAGCACAGACACTCCCAGAGCCCAGGCCCAGGAACTGCACAAGGGATGGGAATTTGCTTCAAACAAACACTGGAAAGGAGCTGAGCACCGAGGCAGCATCAGCAGCTCCAGGGGTCATTTCCCCCAGAAGTGCAATTTTATAGGAACTCAGGATTCATTTCCCCCAGAAGTGTGGTTTTACAGGGGCTCCAGGGGTCACTTCTCCTGGAAGTGCAGTTTTACAGGAACTCACACGTGAGACTGTCTTCCCCAGAGGACAGACAGCCTGGTTGCAGCCCAGTGATTAGAAAGCAGATAGCAGGTGTCAGTGCTCATCAAGAAACACAAACGAAACAGTACATGGAGACAGTCTCATGCCAGAGTGGCTGCCACCAAGCAGACAAAAGTGCTGGTGAAGAGGTGGAGAACAGGGATCTTCACCCACAGGGAGAGAATGTAAATCAGGGTAGCCATAATGGAAAGCAGTGTGGAGCTTTCTTTAAAAAGTTCCCTGATGACCCAGCACTCCCACAACTGACTGTAAACCCAAAGGAAATGAAATCACTATGTTGACAAGCCATCTGCACCCCCTTTCATTGAAGCAGAATTCATAACAACCAGGAAATGGAATCAACCTTAGTACCTTAACTGATAAATGAACAAAGAAAAGCACACTATGCGTATTACCCCACTACCGTGGACTCTAATGACATCGGTGTCACAGAAGTTAAGAGCAGCATCTTGGGGAGGAAGGGGGTAGGGGAGATGGAGAAAGCTTGAAACAAGGTCTAGAAAAGCTAGAAGAATGGGGTTTGAACATTTCCACCATACAGAAAGAAAAAGTGTTTGAAATGGATATGCTTACTTTAGGGAAATTGTGCAGTTTTTATGTCAGAACATTTTAAGATCGAGACTAAGAAGAATGACATTGTATGCAATGGTGTGTTTCTAGAACTGCGAAAAATGTGTGAAAGACTTTGTCCCTCAAAAGGAAATGTCCTAAGATACCCAAGATCCCACCAGCAAGCTGAAGCTCCACAGCCAGAACTCGTGGACCATGTCCAGAAATGAAGTGTTGTGTAGCAAGCAGCTTCTTGAGTTTTCTGATCTTCATGGAAAATGCAAATTGGTATTTATGTTTTGAATTACTTAGCAAGCCTGTTAGTGAGATGGACATATATTTATTGAAAATTAAACCCATTCAATTAGTATAAATCAGAAGAAAATGACTGCCTTGGCTCTATTACACATACAAATTTTAATAAAACTCATCTAAAATTCATTTCAATATCAAGTAGAAAGCAAGTGAAGACTCTGTTTCCTATTTTACTCATGTTATCAAATTTTACAGAACCTATGACATATAGCTGAGCTACATTTTTCATCTTTTGAGAAGAAACAAAAACACTAGCTGCTGTAAAGACCTAAGATGTACTATGAAGGAGAAAATGAGGGTCTGAAGAGAAAATCTGGAACCAATAGCCTAGGTTTCATCCCTAACTAGTTGGCCACATTCCTAAAATTAATTAATTTTAGTAAAATTAAAACATCCCTAAAATAGAATACATTATGGAAGACATTATCAGCCCAAAGCAGGGCAATGTTCAAGAATTATCTCTCCCATTTCCACAAGTCACCGCATTTTCTCATCAGCTTCTTTAGTTCCTCAGGAAGACCGGAGATTTTTCTTTTTATTATAAGCATAAAATTAATTGCCTGTTAAATGAGGCTCTTATAAATTTAAATTTGGCTCACTTAAACTTGATTTTCAAACTGGTTTATTGGACAGTCACAATTACTTCCTTGACGGGAAAATGAAGTGCTTGAATAGAAATATTTTGCACTCACTGAAAAGGGTTGTCTACAATGGCACTTGTTCAAAGCCTTGAAGAAGCGACCGAGGGCAGACAGGTGCGATGGGGCCTAAACCCTGCTCTTCCCACACCGCCACGTCTCTCAGGGTTGAAATAGCACCAATGTCTAAGAGAGAGCTCGCCAATTACTTCACCTTGAAAAGTAGCAGGCTCTGAGTCATGCATTGTAGGGCATAGCCAGTCAAACACAGACACTGTTTGAAAGGCTCTGATGATGCCTGTCAGACATAACCAATCAAACACGTGACAGTGTTGGAATGGTTGGCCCAGTGCCTGGGAGCCCTTAGACGTTTTGCATGACTTCTGTCATCTGAAGTGGGACTGACAAATGCATTGGCTTTCAGAACTACTCCAGAGATGGCTGCGGAAGACATTAAAGAGAAATAGAAGTGGCAGTTATACCAGGGTGTTCATATTTAGGAGAAAGCGACTCCAAGACAATTGCCACGTCCTTCTCTGGACTCCTTGGTTTGGAGAGAGGAAGAGGTATTTAGGTTCCCGTGCAGGCCTGGCCCGGGGACAAGGGCTGTCCCTTCTGAGGATGGTCCCCATCGCTGCCCCACTGCTGCCCAGGGCTTCTCCCAGCAGCCCACCATAGGGAAGGTAGCTCCGAGAGGCTACAGGTAACCTGGCCCCATGGTGGCCAACACTTATAATCCAGCTCTGGTTATCCCTAGCACACACTGTGTCCTGACGGGATCCTGAAACGGTGCCTGCTTCGATGAGTGAAAGATGCTTGGACACAGCCTTCACCCCAAGGATCTGACCTTGTATACTTTGGCTCATTGCTCAACCTCATAATGCTGACCCATAAACAGTGGTGGAGGGAGAGGGGGTTCATGAAAACACCAGTCTCCTTTGATTGGCCCTTCCCCTCACCTTTTTTTTTTTTTTGGGTCCGGTCGTGGGGCCTGAACTCTGGGCCTGGGCGCTGTCCCTCAGCTCTTCAGCTCAAGGCTAGCGCTCTACCACTTGAGCCACGGAATCGAACCAAGGCCTCAGGCATGCAAGGCAAGTGCTCTACCACTGAGCCACCTTCCCAGCCCCACCTTTTTTTTTTTTTTTTTTAAGATAAGGTCTTTTGTGCAGCCCAGGTTGGCCTAAAGTTTGTGACTCTCCTGCCTCGGCCTCCAGAGCACTGGCATTATAGGCATGTGCCACCACACTGGGCATAGGTCGTTTGGATGGTATTTCTTCTGTGATCGGTCATGTGACTGCAAACTATCAGGACATTCTGTTCTTTTCTATCTGGATCGTTTAATCTCGTAGAAACAGGCAAGTCATAGCAATGTAAAGTCGTACTCAACAACTGTCTCCTTTTGTCACATTTAGGGTTGTGCCAATAAGTTTTACCTCCACGTAGGAAGCATTCTGCTGAGCCCTGGCTAGGGGGCAGGTATTAAGTTTAAGTGGAAGGCAAAGATGCATCCATTGCTCAGTTCCACAGGGGCAGCCGGGAAGCCAGGAACAACCTGAGGGACTAAATGCTCCCAGGCAGGGAACCCACATGCAGAAAGTGCTTTATTGTTGGTCTGACCGCAGCACTCTCATGGGATCTGTGGAAAGCAGTGCAGGAGGAGGAGGGTGTGTGTGTATGTGTGTGTGTGAATGCCCCGCTCTTGAGCAGATAGCTGGATAGGAACTGCAGTTCCTCAGGAGTCCATAGGATTATAACTCATATGCAGAAAATAGATGTCAATGGAGCATAGCAAAGTAAACCAAGGGCCATTTTTCATTTCTTTTTTTTCTTAGGTTTGGAGTATAACAAATATCATATTGTTTAGAAGGTACACTTTAATTCAATGTAAGCCTACAGATTTCCAAAGACTTTAAGCAGGATTGAAATGGTTAGAAGTGGTTGTAGGGATAGAAGCAAAAAAATTTAAAAAAAAATTGGCAAGGGGCTGGGAAGGTGGCTCAGTGGTAGAGCGCTTGCCTTGCATGCCTGAGGCCCTGGGTTCGATTCCTCAGCACCACATAAGCAAAAAGAAAAAAGCCAGAAGTGGCGCTGTGGCTCAAGTGGTAGAGCGCTAGCCTTGAGCTGAAGAGCTGAGGGACAGCACCCAGGCCCAGAGTTCAGGCCCCACGACTGGACTCCCCGCCCCCCCCCCAAAAAAAAATTGGCGATTCTGCCAGGGCTCTCCTCCATCCAGTATGCCTTTCATCACCTTATGCTTTTATGTCTGTAGTATGTTTGCTTTCCTAACTATCTTGGAAAAAATGTTGTTTTAAATAATGTACACTCCTATAGTATATAATTTCCAGTTTCTTTTAGTAGCTTCCTAGTCAAAATGTAAGACTTTCCACCTCCTCTTTCTGATCCTCTTTTTTTTTTTTTTAAGGTTATGTGGTATAAGAATCACATGCATCTATACCTCCCACTTTAAAACATAGTTATCCTGGGAGAGTTAAGTTTCCACGAACATGGTATGCTGGAAAGGAATACTGGAATGAATGCTTTCATTCAGAACTTTGAGACATCTTCAATTATCTTTTGAAGTTCTGAGAGTGAAGTTTAACTCCTGTCATTCACTAAAAAGTTTCAAGCTGATATTTTGCAGTTTATTTTTCTTTCTTGTTTATATAACCATGGCTGTACTTGGAATCACATAATGAAACTGAAGGCCAAACGCAGAAACAGAAATATCATTTGACGATAATATTCACAGCCCCATTCTACTTATGCTATGACTTGCAAATGACTCCTATTCCACACAAGGCACTCAAGGCATTCAATCTGCCAAATTCTAACACTGGCTGGGTGAATAAATAGAACTTTAGTGTTTGAAATGACCCTGGGATTCTGAGTGGATATAAAAGACCTATTAGTGAAATCTCTTCTCCCCCTGTTGAATTTAATGAGAACATTATACTAACTGGATCTGAGTCAAGGACTTGGGTCTCGTAGAAGAGTTTTTTTTTAAATAGGATTAAAAACTAAAAGGACTCCAAACTACATTAGGCACAAGCCAAATTCTTTGCATATTCTGTAAAGTAGTTTTATTCAAATGGCCAAGGTCACCCTGCATACAAGTGGGCTGAATTCTGTATGAACAGGACTCTTAATATCTAATGGTAATTCTCAGACATAATGTGCATGTGAATCCCTAGTAAGTAAGGTC